TGTGAAGTTTCAACCTGATCAGATTAATAATTCATGAAATATGATTTAGGGGTCTAAAATTACCACTTCCGGTAAAACTGGAAGTGAAGGTCACATGACGTTGACATATCAATTTTTATGTATAACACATCCCTGTCTGTATACCTACTAAATTTGAGATCAATCGGTCAAATAGTTCTATAGTTATAAGACTGTAAAGATTGTCTCATTAAATATTCATGACGTCATAACATGACATTAATTATGTGCACAGTAATAATAATGCAATATAATTATCCGTCAATATAGCTTCGTATTAATGTGAAGTTTCAACCTGATCAGATTGTCAACCTGAAGTTATAAGCGTGCGTAGGGCATGTCCGAGTTTGTTTACTGCCTCGAAGCTATTAAATGTTTTAGACCTACACTTCAATCGACAATTAAAGTAAAAACTAATATAAAAACTGCCATGGTTGATTTTTCAGGAATTTTCTAAGGAAAAAGGGTCTTTTCATTATAACTTCCGGTCTGATGACGTCATACGCCTAAAACTTCGCACACGTCTTAAGTGGGTCAAGGTCATCATATACACCAATATTTAGGCGATTCCGACAAACTTCGCCACAGACATCTATTCAAAATACATTTTTGAAAATTTTCAACCTGTCGCTAGAGGGCGCTCGAAGATTGCATGACGTCATCGGTTGATGATTTGAAGAATACTATCAGCCAAGAGACTAACACCGTTAAAAGCAAGTTCATATCTATTACCACTTTCAAATAATAAGCCACTTCCGGTTTTGGCCTTTTTCGACCGGAAGCAAGGGTCACGTGATTTCACGCACACTAAATGAAATAAAGACCTTAACCTACTCTACCACTTGCCGGCAACAGACTGCTGCGGACGCGTACAGTTGATTTCTTATGCATTTTTAAATATTAAAAGTGTCACAATTTAATTGCCTATAAATAAACACCTGATGACGTCATCATGATGTCATCATTACACAATGTTGTTTGAACTAGGGTCTTTGCTTGGACAAAGAGTGGTGTAAATGAATTACTGGCAAAGAGTCGAAAATGCCCTTTGAAAATCGACAATTTATTTTTAATTTCCGTGTACAAAGTCTATGGGAAAAATTAAATATTCAAAATTCTATAATAAATCACGTGATGACGTCAGCATGACGAAAAGTGTCGGCACACATCCTCAGATGATGGTTAATAACTATGCTGAGTTTAAAGTTGATCGGATTTAAAATAATTGCCAAAGTGGCTTGTAGAATAAATACGTGTACAAAACCTATGGGGAAAAGTGGAAAAAGAAAAAAAAAAAAAAACTAGAACTATGTGGTTGTGAGTGAACAACCACAGAGCTGTTCCCAACATGTTTTTGATTGTCTATTGCAGAGTACAAAATGATTCAATGATTTGTTCTAAACAAATTTTACTATTAAATTGAAATTATAATATGAATCGGTGATGGTCTTGTTCGGGACACATTTTCCGAAGAGAAGCTGGTTGGGTTCTGAAAACATAAAATTGAAAATATATCTTTGGGAACAGGTCTGTTTGTACGAGATATAGACATATAAGTAGAGATCTATGTCTGTTTGCAACAGACGATAGGGCTTTTCCGTATTATGATATGTTATCATCAATAATACGTCCCTGACTATGCATGAACATAAAATCTGTCAAAGCTAGCCGGAAATCGGCTAAAACGGTCACTGTAGACAGGATTTGACCTCAGCAACTCGTGCACTGCGCGCGGGCTGACTGACATACGATATGTACAACGTACGTGCATGTACATGTACATGTACATTGTGGACGTCCTGTGCATGTTTTCAAGCAGAAGTATTGTCAACCTGAAGTTTTAAGCGTGCGCAGGGCATGTCTGAGTTTGCTTATTGCTTCGAAGCTTTGAAATGTTTTAGACCTACCCTTCAATAGACAATTAAAGTAAAAACTAATATAAAAACTGCCATGGTTGATTTTTCAGGAATTTTCTAAGGAAAAAGGGTCTTTTCATTATAACTTCCGGTCTGATGACGTCATACACCTAAAACTTCGCACACGTCTTAAGTGGGTCAAGGCCATCATATACACCAATATTTAGGTGATTCCGAGAAACTTCGCCACAGACATCTATTCAAAATACATTTTTGAAAATTTTCAACCTGTCGCTAGAGGGCGCTCGAAGATTGCATGACGTCAACGGTAAATGATTTGAAGAATACTATCAGCCAAGAGACTAACACCGTTAAAAGCAAGTTCATATCTATGACCACTTTCAAATAATAAGCCACTTCCGGTTTTGGCCTTTTTCGACCGGAAGCAAGGGTCACGTGATTTCACGCACACTGAATGAAATAAAAACCTCAACCTAGTCTACCACTTGCCAGCAACAAAATGCTGCGGACGCGTACGGTTGATTACTTATGCATTTTTAAATATTAAAAGTGTCACAATTTAATTGCCTATAAATAAACACTGGATGACGTCATCATGACGTCATCATTACACAATGTTGTTTGATAGGGGGTCTTTGCTTGGACAAAGATTGGTGTAAATGAATTACTGGCAAAGAGTCGAAAATGCCCTCTGAAAATTGACATTTTTAAAAATAAATCTGTGTACAAAGTCTATGGGAAAAATTAAATATTCAAAATTCTATAATAAATCACGTGATGACGTCAGCATGACGAAAAGTTTCGGCACACATCCTCAGATGATGATTAATTACTATGCTGAGTTTAGAGTTGATCGGATTTAAAATAATTGCCAAAGTGGCTTGTAGAATAAAAACGTGTACAAAACCTATGGGAAAAGTGGAAAAAGAAAAAAAAAAAAAACTAGAGATAGTGATTGTGAACAATCACAGAGCTGTTCCGTGTTTTTATTGTTGGTTTGTTACCAAAAAGTAAATGATATATAAATAAATTCTATAAAACATAACAGACTTGGAAAAAGATACAAACAGTGCAGTAATTATATTAAGAATGATTTGGGCAATTATTTGAAGTATAGAAAATTTGTCAGTATGTCTGTACATCGTTTATCAGAAATTAACCAAATTATTCTCCTCTGATGTTGAAATTCAACAACAGTAGTTTTGCTGTAAAAATGCTTTTAAAAACATAACACATCAAATTTGTAAAAGTTTTTAATCTGTTACAATGTTAACAAGAACAGTGATTGATAAGTCATTTTGATTTATTTTGAAGTGACAAACATGAAAAACAATGAACAAGTTTTCATAATAAAGGGCACTGTTGTGATGATCAAAGCAGGTCTGGGCTGTACATGGACTTTATGACCTCTCACCCAGGGCATGCACAGTTACCCTCAACAGATATATTACAGAGGAAGTGCGTGGATGGGCAGTAACTGGGTTAGAGGTCATAATTCGCTGTACATACCGGCCACATGCTTGCTTTGATCATGACGATGGTGACCCTTTAAAAATGATTTGGGGCAATTTTTGGAAGCCTGGAAAATTTGTCAGTTTGTGTGTACATCGTTTATCAGAAATTAACCAAATTATTCTACTTTTGATGTTGAAATTTAACAAACAGTAGTTTTGCTGTAAACATGCTTTTGAAAACAAAACACATCAAATTAGTGTAAAAGTTTTTAATCTGTTACAATGTTAACAAGAACAGTGATTGATAAGTCATTTTCATTCATTTTGTAGTGACAAACATGAAAAACAATTACAAAGTTTTCATAATAAAGGGTACTGTTGTCATGATCTAAGCAGATCTGGGCTGTACATGGACTTTATGACCTCTCACCCAGGGCACGCACACTTACCCTCAATAGATATATTACAGAGGGAGTGCGTGGACGGGCAGTAACTGGGTTAGAGTTCATAATTCCCTGTACATACCGGCCACATGCTTGCTTTGATCATGACGATGGTGACCGTTTTGGAATGATTTGGGGCAATTATTTGAAGCATGGGAAATGTGTCAGTATGTCTGTACATCGTTTATCAGAAATTAACCAAATTATTCTACTTTTCATGTTAAAATGCTGCTGTAATAATTTTTCTTAGTTCAACCCCAAATTGTTTAAAATTTACCCAGTCAGATTCTCTTGTCGTTTTTTACTTGATAGATAAAATATAACAGTAGTTTTTTTATGAACTGGGCTTTAAAAGTTGTTTGAAAAAATCACATCAAATTTGTAGTAATGGTATGTACATGTACAATGTTTTACAGAGTACAATGTTTACAGAGGTCTTCGTCTGTGTGTTCTTCCTCTTCATTCCTGTATGGTAAAAGAAAAGAGAAAGAAAAAGAAACCAGTAACAAAACAAGTATTTACTATTTGAATAGAAGCAAGTGGGGGTTGTACTTGGGTTTTATTCTATTAACTATTGAATATTTGTTGGGGTCTAAACTTTGCATCACTGAAGCTGGTAAAAAGGGTGAAGACCTTTTTTTCTCTCTTTTTCTTGTAAATTTTCTTTGTTTTTTTGTTCCCCTCCAACTTAAGTCAAGACGTGGTATTTCAAGATTTGAACTGAACTGTACCTTGAAACTTGGCATACAAGTTGAACCCCATATATGAGGGCAGTACTTCAATATTTACACATATATGTGCGCTTACTAGATGACGCCGCTGTAATTATGTCATGTTGACGTCATTGGGTGTTGATATTTATGACAATTCAAGGTTTATTATTGAAAAAAAAATTGTATCTCCTGAACATAAGCTATTTTCACACTTTCTACTTCATAAATGAAAGGGCTTAACGTACTTCATGAAAGTTGCACTAACAAGACCCAAATTTGACCTTATCTTACAGTTGAAAAGAGAAGTTGGAGAGAAAAATATATACGCAGGACTTGTATTGAGGTCTGACAATATGAAATGCAATTTGGACATGGTCTCTGTGTATGAAATAATGTTTGATGCCTTGGCCTTTTCTACATCATGTGGACATTTATGCTACTGACCTGTCACATGTTTGAGTGATTGAAGTCACTTTGTTAGTTCCAGCAACATTTTGAAACTCTATGTCTAGAACGATGGGGAGTAGAGGGTGTGCCTCAGTAACTTCGGTAATATGGAGGGCATCGTTGAGAATATCTGGAGCTGTTACATACTCTGTGTTGTCATCAGTGAAGATCGTAATGTCGCCACTGAAAATATTTATGGTGAAAGATACAAGATTACTTAGCAAGTTAACTTACAGATTTTGTGAGATGGTAACTGTAGTTGTCAATTTTTGGTTGAATATTGGCAAGTGTTCACAAGACTTAGTTATAGACCTGAAATGTGATTGATATATTTTGTGGATTTAGGTGATTTAGGTAAATTTCTGAAGTTGCTTCACATGTGCATGAGTTGCACACAATTGTTTTTTGTACAAGTGTAACTTCTGTAAATAGGCTAGCATATAAAAAATATCATGATCATCAAACAGCATCATAAAATAACATTTTTGATCATGATTTATTGTACATGTTTATTTGCATAGCTTGGTGTTTAATTCTTAAGATCATGGAAAGATAAAAAAAAGTAAGGTTACTAAGTTAATGGGTAGAAGAAATGAGCACTAAGAGTCTTACTTCTGTTCTTCAGAGAATGCATTGACTGCCACCGTCTGTTGTGAACTTGGCTCTTCTCTTGTCTGCTTAGAAGGATGAAAGTTTAAGGGTGAACACATGTTTCTGAAGGAAACTAAGGAACAGTAGTGTGATGGGTTTTGTTTTGCCATGGAATTGTATCTAACTAGAAAATTGGGTCATTAAAAATTGTTTTGTACTGGCAGCTAGTTGGTTGTTGAGTAGAGTAGGCAGTATAGTGTTAGTGGGGCTTGTGAAAACAATATCAACAATTATTTTTTATAAAGATGTAAATGTTATAGTTGAGTTCATCATATTTAAGGGGTATCAAGGAAAAACATAGTAAGACTGTGACTAATATAGAACAAGATATGAAATATGACATTATGTATGTCATACAAAAGTTGGGGTAGTTTTGTAATTAATAAGGTGTACTAGGGGTACAGTTATATAAAAGAAATCTTACCACAAAGGTTGTTTCTTGTGTGGCATTGAGGACAGTGTCTTGTTTATATGAAGAAATTTCAACATTCTCCAGTAGAACTGGTGAGCCAACAGGTGGAACATGACTTTGGGATGAACTCCCCCAAAGATTCACTTGGACAGTTGTTCTTTGTTTCTGATCAGTGATGTCAACAGTTTTGAGCTGATAATTCTGTCCTTCCTTAACAGGAGATACCTGATTGCAATAAAGTCAAAGAGTTTCGTTGCATTTTACTATGAGGCAGTAGGCAGTAGGATGTTGTGTTTTGACATTTACAATTTCATCATAATTTTCTGTATATGAAAGTTTAACTTGAAAAGAAGAATGAGACATGTAATTTGTAAAAAAATGTTGTATTAATTACTCACATAATTAATTAAATTGAAATATTTAAAGACAAAATAGTAATATCATAAGTTTGTATGGTTTACTAACTGCCTTAATGATTCCTTCAACGCTGACTCTCTTTCGTTTTGGCAGTGTTGTTGCTTCTTGAATAGTGACAGTCTTTGCATGGTAGAACTCTTCTTCTATTTCTTGTGATGTTGGAAATGGTCCTGTGCAAATCACCTAAGGAAAGAAGTGTTTATCTTGTATAATTACATGTTTACAAATGTGTTATTATTGGAGGTCAGCATTCAAAATGAAAATGTTTCAGTTTGAGTTGATAAATACATGAACAGAAGTAGGCTATGTGGGGTTGAGGAGTGAAATTCAATATGTACCATGTATGGTTAATACAGTTTCTTTTGCATTTTAATGATATTATGTTACTTACTCTAGTTTTAGCTGTTGCTTTGAGAGCTGGCATATTTGTTGATGAAACTACGAAGCTATTGCATGCAACTAGTCGGTAGAACAGACCTTGTTGGAAATATTCAAGTAGCCTGTCTGTAAGGTACAACTCCTTGATTTCATTTTGGTCGGTCAGAACTTGAATTGCGTAGGCAAATTTTGTCTTGTATTTCTCTCTTGAGAGGACCTTGATATTGACAGTAGCCATCTGTATTATTTAGAACATAACATAAACATATACACAAACATAAACATATATACATGTAGTTTTAGAAATTGTCTGAAGCAATGTATTTTGTTGTTCGGGGGATGGTATCTTAGTAATTTCAAATGTTGGGTTTTGGTTAGTGTTGCATGAAGGAATATTAAATCAGCTGTAGACTTAATTAGGATATAGCTTTTTAAAAACTGTTTATAGTTAATTAGAAATAGAATTACTATTATAACTATTTGGGGAAATTGTATTTCTTTATTTTGTAGGTTTTTTTTAAGGGGGTGCCCTGAAAAATTGTAACTAAAGTTGGTGGATGATTGAAAAGCTCCCCGCTACCTCTCCCATGGCTGAAGTGAAGGTCTGCAAGGTTGCAATTTATACACACAGGCCTGATTATCATTACACTTGTATCATTACACTTATCTAAACACTTAAAAAAAGTCACTTCGCCCCCCCTCCAGCGGAGCTTGTTACTTTCTTAATGTATGTCATATTTTAGATTACAGTATGCAACTGGAAGCAGAATCTAATTATGCTTATTTAGACACCTCATTCATAACAAATGACCCAGTATTAATCAATCCTCACCTAGTCCTTCCTCCATGGTTGAACTGTTGAACAGATGAACCCCTGAATCTGAAAACTGCACTTACCGTAATGATAATCATAAGCATATCACACAAGAGGAAACAACAAAAGGATCCATGCGGACATGGTCGAACAGATTTCCATTACCTGTGAACAGGTTATGCTCAATAGGATTAAGTTTAAGTTAAGTTACCTTTGTTTACACTTCAAAAACACGTTGAGTCGACTGTCAGTGTCACATGTACTTGTACTGTCATGGTAATGCACAACGATAGTGTAATGACAGAGCTTGCATTGAATGCAAGGGCGCCACCTGTTGAACGGTATTATTGAACGGTGTCTATTAAACGGTATAAATTATATCATTAGGCCAAAAAAAAAAAAGTCTCCGGTTTCTGGTATGCGCGCGCGTCGCCGTAGCCATGCGCGTCGGCAAAATGAAAAAGTTTTTTTTCAATACAAGATGATGTTTCAAAACCGCCAAACTCACTGGTTTGACTGGAATTCTGCTGCTGCACAATTTTAACGTGTTTTTGGTTATGATCGAGAATAATATTTATGTGGCCTCTCTGGACTCCCATATATTTGCACTAAGTTTAGTCGGGCACCATTTGCAGTCATCAGCCGACATTTGAAGCCAAAAAAAAAAAAAAAACAGTTAAAAAAAAAAAAAAAAGCTGCGTCGCCGCACCACTTTTGGGGCAAGCTCCATACCAGAAACTGGAGACTTTTTTTTTTTGGCCTTAACAAACAACTGTAACTATTAATATTGAGATTCTAATCTTAAATAATTACACTTCCGGTACCACGGGAAGTGAAGGTCACATGACCTTAACATTCCAGCAGACACACCTTCAGACCATGATGTAATGTGCAAAAAATTGCAATGATGGGTTATTGTACACTTAACTGTTGAGATATGGTGGCAACAAATTGTCTCATTAAATATTCATGATGTCATGACAAGAGAATGACGTAATTTATCGTCACATTACTTGAAACATAAATTTAACTTAAGACTGTTTCTAGATATGCAACTTTTGATCGTCAAAAACAGTTGGACAGATATGAAGATATAGGACTCAGATCGGGCCTATATATTTTAAGTCACTATTATGTAACATATGATGACGTCATGATGATGTCATATCAATTTTGATCATGAACATTTCCTTGTTTACAGAAGTACAATGTTTGAGATTAATCGGTTTGACAGTTATATTTGTGATTCAAGATTTATTATTGTGCGCGCTTTTTACGTAGTATCTAGTACGCAGCAAGCTACAGGTGTTACCGATATGTGATATTTCTGGGCTGAACGTTTGTGAAGTGTTGACTATATTGAACAGCCAGCATTATTAAGGTTAATCTGTCAATATTTAATGAATGAATTTAAATGTTGTGAACAAAATTGTCGCAACAGAAGGATGGCAGAGAACTTTTCGACGCACGGCACGCTATATCGCGCTGCTAAACTGGTGAAGCGAGGTCTGTATTTTTATACAGTGCGCCCTCTATTTGAATCAAGTGCATTGACCTCCACCAGCGCTGGCAAGGTAGCTAGCTGTTGACGTATAGTATGGTGCCGCTACAGCCTGATGGAATGTGATTCGTTTTACAGCATCAAGAATTGGGAACAAGATGTGTATGGACATTTGCATTTGGAAGGTACGCAACGGTTGGTGATGATGAGAACTGATTGCTTTCGTAGTATTTTCTTATTATTTAGTGATGAAAATGAAGCAGTAAAGTATTGTATATTGCTTGACTATTAATGTAGAAGGCTTTGAGTTTCTCACTGTCGAGACATGTCAACTTTGTTTATGGTGTAATTGGTTGGTTCATGTTTCGTGTTATAATGGGCCTAACTGCCTAAGTAATGCCAATTCATTTGCCATGCCTAACGACTAAACATGTACTGAAAACTACATCATACATGTATGTAACTGTATTTATACTGTACATACCATCATGGGGTTATTTTTTATTCTGGTTCTGCTCAGTACTGTGCAAACACCTCCAACTTGCGGTTATCACGCTCCATGATTACCATTAGTTACGTAGGCACGCGAATTTATAAATTTAAGGGTGGATGTGGTACTGTCTCGTAAGATTTTACATTAACAGTCTTAGTAATAATTGCACTATATTTGGTAAGATTGTACTATACCTCTACTCTATTTTCCTTATTACAGCTTATCAACCACCAACAAGTGAATTTCTGATAAGAAATCATGAATTTAGGATAAAGAAAATTTGGAAAGTTCCATACACGGACACAAACCTTATGAGACTGCTCTGAAAAAATGCTGTTTTCTAAGTAAATGCTTTGATTTTTTCACTGCTAAATTCAACTTTTAAGGACATGTTATTGCTTTTCCTGGCTTGTAGGTCACAACAGGGAAAATTAAGCATTGTCCATGTATGGAACTCTTCCCGAATTTCTTTTTTTTTAAGTTCTTAGGAAAAACTTAAGAGGAGATCCATAGGTTCTGTGCATGGGGTTAAAAGTTAGGGGATAACTATGAAAGTAAGATCTTTCCCTATATATTTGTGATAACAAGCAAAAAGTGAAAGTCTGATGAGAAATCATGATGTTAGTTATTGTTAGTGTGGACATATTGAACAAATTTGAATCATAGGAAAATCTTTGATATATTCTTTCAGATGAGATACATCATGTAGGGGTTGTGCATGGGGTTAAAAGCGGGGGTATTAAAGTAAAATCTATCCGTGGAGGTGTCTTGTGTTAATAAGTAATGATTTACAAAGTACTTAGTGCAGGTACTACACAGCAGTTTTGGACAGTTGGGAACAGATATTAAATGAAAGCTGAAATAAATTCTGTAGTAATACTAGTTACACGTAGCTTGGCAAATGAGGTTGTAAATGGCCCTGTTTTGAAAAGTACCATAAGCTGTAAATCTGATAAAGCAAAAGTAATTTAGGAGTGAAAAAAATTTCAATTTATTCTTTGAAAATATGTTTTGTCATGGCCCATAGACTTTCTGCAGAAGGTCTGAGGTGGAGTCTGCATATGGAATTCATTCCTCTGTAGCCATTACAATGGCGACAGATTGAGATGAAATGCAAAAGAGAGCCATTTACAGCCCCGTTTGTAGGGTTACATGTAGTTTATGATTAGCCGGGGGGGGGATGTAGTATCCAGATGCCACTTCATATACAAAGTTTATCATTGTCAGTGGAGAGTCAAGATCTTATTTCCTAACAAAATCAAAAGTATTTCTTCATTGCAGATTCATCTCTTTTCAACATGCAGGCAATGACTGACCATTATTGAGATATCAAGAAAAAAGTGGCATCAGGTTGCAACATTCTTTCCTTTAGGGTTGAGAATTTAATTAGGAGCATGCTATTGGTTAATGATTTCTTAATAATTTCTACAGAAAACAGAGCTACCATGAAAGTGAAGAGGGAGTCTATGAGGTGTGTGCGAGGCCTGGAGAAGAGGAGTTCTCCATTTTTCATGTCTGTCCATGTTGTGTCTCATTTCATTTCCCAATCACCCATGCCAGCATTTCATTCCATTCCTTCTGCGTCTTCCCTCCCATCATCATCACTCATTCCATTACCCTCTGTATGCGGGGCTCACCAGGCCGCTAATCCTGGCAGAATTACGGAATGCGGGGCTCACCAGGCCGCTAATCCTGGCAGAATTACGGAATGCGGGGCTCACCAGGCCGCTAATCCTGGCAGAATGAATGAATGCGGGGCTCACCAGGCCGCTAATCCTGGCAGAATGAATGAATGCGGGGCTCACCAGGCCGCTAATCCTGGCAGAATGAATGAATGCGGGGCTCACCAGGCCGCTAATCCTGGCAGAATGAATGAATGCGGGGCTCACCAGGCCGCTATTTATCCTGGCAGAATGAATGAACATTATGATAACAATTATAAGACATATAGTAAATGTATGATGAACGAATGCGGGGCTCACCAGGCCGCTAATCCTGGCAGAATGAATGAACATAATGAAGACAATGAAATTTATGATGACATACTGAATGAAGTTGAGCAAGCAATGATCATGAGCAAAGAAACTGAACAAAGATATGAGCAAACAGCTGAGCAAAGTGATGAAGCAGTGATTATGTCAGTGCAGAAGAATGAGTGTATTGTGCAATATGCAGTAGAGAATATCACAGTTGAAATGAGTGCAGAAGGTTATGTTAAATGGAATAAGGTTAAAGAGAAGTGCGATGATATAGAGGCAAAAGGTGATGCTATTGATGAAGAGAAGGCCCAAAATGGTGGTATGAAGCATGAGGAAGATAATCTTGACAAAGACATGAAAGAAAAGTGTACAAAGATAATGGCAAGAAAGTTGAAAAAGGTCAAGAATGCAAGTGGCGACTTGAGACTGAAGGTAAAAGAAATGAGGAGAAAAAGACTGTTGAAGTTGACCAAGAGAAGAGTTCATGATCAGAGAGGTATGAGGAGGTTGCATGGTTACTTGAAGATAAAGCACTGCACCAGAAATAGTAATGGCAGTTGTATGCAAGATCAGCATGAGAATAGATCAAGAAAGAAACATATCAAAGTTAGTAGAAAGAGAAGAAGAAGAGATATTTGCAAGGAATCCTATAATAGAAGAAGAAATGGAATGAGGATTGAATTGTGGATGAGCAAGGAAGAAAAAGCAGTCCATGAAAAGGTTCAAAAAAGTGCGTTCCGTGAGACTAAGCGAAGTCTTTCATTTGTTTTGAAGAAGATGAAAGATGTCAGTACAGAAAACAAAAATAAGAAAAGGCAGAGGAGTAATGGAAATTTTGCAAAAGTTGTGAAGGAAGATGTGAAGCATACATGTGCTTCTGAAATGAAAACACCAGAAAGGAGGCAGACAATTCTGGACAAGAAAGTTGGGAAATCAGTACTAAAAAGCAAAAACAGTCAGACGTGTGATCGACACAGACATGATCAAACCGTCAAAGGAAATCAGTCCAATGAAGAGTGCTGGTTGTGTGATCAGACTATCAATGTGTTTGAAAGGAAAGTGCAATGTGATGGTTGTAACATTTGGTACCATGTCAAATGTATGAATTTCTTGAAGATGGAGGAATTGTTGGCAAACAGAGCAGTGGTATGGATGTGTCGTAAATGTGGTAAGAGTACTTACTCTCAATCTCTTTTGTATGATCTTGGTATTCCAACAGATGACAATGTATTTGAGATGACTATTGAGGAGACATGCACTATAGATGATGTAGTTCAGCAGACGTGTATTGGAACATGTGCACAACATAGCAACTGGGATGATGAGACAAATGATGTAAGTAGACAGGGAAGAAAGACAAGTTCAGTTGGCATTGAAGAAAGTACATGTACTGTAGGATTGATGACTAAAGGAAAACAACTGGTATGTCAGCAGACAGGTGGTTATTCATTAAGAAAGAAAAAAGGCCAGTCTTCAAATTCACACAATGTAGATGGAAGTAAAACTGAATTGGCAAAAACAGTTGAAAAGGAAAGTGGAAATTGTATTGCACGCAAACATGTCAGTGATGGTATTGGTGATGGTGTTAAATGTGATAATATAGAAAAGTCTGAAGCTGCAGATATGCAAGGTGATGACAAAGAGGTGTTACAAACAAAACGAAGCAGAAGATATGAAATGAGAAATAGAAAACGACAAATGTCACCTACTACTACAAGCTGTGAAGTGAAATGTAAAGAAATGAAAATGATGAATGTAGTTGAAGAGAAAAAACATGAAATTAAGAATAGTTTGAATAAGTGCACAGTTCAGAATAGTGGGAAATTGGACAAAATGATTGTGCAGGGAACCTTTCATCAAGGAGATCATAGATTTGCTGGAAACGCTGGTAAACAATGTGTTTCAAATTCTCTGTGTGCTGTTTTGATAAGTAAAATAAAACAACTGAAACACTGGTCTTGTCAAGATATGGATACTACACTGAATACTGGAAATGAATTGTATAGCCACCTGTCTCGAAGTTCTACAGTTACTCATGATTATTTGCTGGTAAATGAATTGCCAAATGAGTTAGACCTGCTGAATCATCATTTCAATATGGAGTTTCATGATCCTGTATGTGGTGCATTTGGAGATCAGTGCAATTTGCCTGAATTTAATATGATGCCATTGAATCGTGCACTAGAACAGACACTTCAGCAATATTATGCATGTTTCATATGTTTCCATGAAAATACATTTGTTGTGATTGCTCAAGATGGGATGTATTATGTTTTTGATTCTCACTCTAGAAATCAACAAGGCTGTATGGCTAGTGAAGGACGAAGTTTGCTGAAATGTGTTTCTGATTGGCAAGATGTCCACAGGTATTGTACTGATTTGGCAAGATCTATGTGTTTGTCTAATAATGAGCAGTTTGAAATTACAGGTGTATCTGTGTGGTTTGATGATGAGCCTAAGCATTACATGGATAGTATTTCTTGCAGTAGTAGTAGACTGGGGAATGAGCATGTGGACAAGACTGGTCATAGTACAGCAAAAGAGGTTGGAGGAATCGGTTCTGAAGCAAAGCTTGATCCTTGTGGCTTGTCAACTAGTTGTTCAAGAGATGTCACAGATAGTTGTCACATGATAAATGACACTAATGAATGTGATGAGACTAGTGATGTTGAAATCAAAGAAGTGATTCAATTGCACAATTTTCATTTTGCCGCTCTGACACATGCAAAGAAGAAGGAACTGTGTAAGATACATGGCTTGATGAATGCACTCCGCAAAAGTAATGAAGTTTCAGATTATTGTGAGGAGATGGGACCACCTAATTGTGTAAAGAAAATCAAAGGGGATGGCAACTGTTTTTTCAGGGCGGTTTCATTTTGTGTATCAGGAACTGAAGATAATCATTTGAAGTTACGGATGGCTACTGTGAATCACATGTTGCAAAATGGAGATAAATTTAATGGTGTTCTGCATGAAGGGTTTAGGAATGTGGAAGAATATGTCACCAGGCAGAGAATGTTTGTTTCTGGAATTTGGGCTACAGAAGTCGAGATTATTGCAATGGCACATATGCTATGTACAGATATATATACATATGATGATTTAAATAAGTGGTATGTATTTTCTCGGAGTATCCTAGGAAGAGAGACTTTGAAATCAGACCAAGGAATTTACTTGTATCATCAGCAAAGAGTTCATTACGATGTTGTTTTGTCAGTTTGTCAATCTACAAGAAAATCTGTTTCTGATGTGAATGGTCAACCAAAGGGAAATTTACAAGAAATCTCCAATAAAGTATCAAATGATGATGAAAGAGCGAAAACAAATATAACGTCTGACAAGATTGACAAGAGTGACCGACAGAATAAAGATACAAAGTGTAAAAGGTTGAAACGCTTTAATGTGCGATTGAAGCAAAAGATTGCAAGAGAAAAGGCTAGGGAGAGATACAAACAGAAAAAAAATGAGAAAAAGGAGGATGACAAAGGAATGAGGATTAGCAAATGTAGTTCTTATGATGGGACAAAATTGAGATCAGGAAATGCAGGAAATCCTAAGGACAAATTAAAAGATGAAAAGAAGTTTTGTAAAGATGATTCTAAGCAAAGAAAAAGAATCTATGGTCAAATGAGATACAAAGAAAAAGCTGACAAGAAGAAGAAAGCATTGAACATAAAGTATCGTGATGACACTGAGTATAAAACACAGCGACTAAAGGCTGAAAAGAGAAAGTATGAGACAAATGCTTCATATAAAAGGACCAAAATAAACGATGGTAAACTTAAGTACCATAATGATCCTCAATATAGGCAGACTTTAATAAACAGTCAGAAATCAAAGTATCAATGTAATGCTGCATATAGAGAAAAGGTAATTAATTCTGGAAAAACAAAATATCATGATAATTGTGGATACAGAGAAAGGTTAATTAATTCTGGAAAAAGAAAATATCGTGATAATTGTGCATACAGAGAACAGCTAATTAATTCTGGAAAAGCAAAGTATCAAGATAATTGTGGATACAGAGAAGGGCTAATTAATTCTGGAAAAGCAAAATATCGTGATAATTGTGGATACAGAGAAGGGCTAATTAATTCTGAAAAAGCAAAGTATCGTGATAATTGTGCATACAGAGAAGGGCTAGTTAAGTCTGGAAAAACAAAGTATTGTGACAATTCTGCGTACAGAGAACGGCTAATTAATTCTGGAAAAACAAAGTATCGTGATAATTCTGCGTACAGAGAACGGCTAATTAATTCTGGAAAAACAAAATATCGTCAAAACTCTCAATATCGAAGAGACCTAATTGAAACTGGAAATAGAAAGTATAGAAATGATGATGTGTACAGACAAAAGAAAATAAACAGAATGAAATGTACATACCATGGTAGTGCTTCATATAGAAAGAAGTTCATTGCAAGTATCAAAAAGAAATATCGCTGTGTTGTTTCATACAGAATGAATTTGATCAAGTATGGGAAAGAAAAATATAAGACAAATCATCAATACCGTAGAAACATGATAATCAACAATCACAGACGTGCCCTTATGGAAAAAGAAAACAGACGTAAAATGTGTATCGTGACAACAAAATTTAGAGAAGACACATCTAAAGGACCGGAATATGTCTGTGCGTGCTGTCAGAAACTTCTTTTTCGAAAACAAGTTTTGAAATGCAATAAATATAAATATGAAGACCCGGTGTATATTAGTGATGAATATCTGCACGTGTGTAGTGAAAATTGTGAGTTAAAATGTATTGTTGGAGAATCAAGTAGATCGCATTTGTGGATATGCTACACATGTCATAGAAAACTACTTGTGAACAAAGTACCTGCAGAAGCAAATCTAAACAATTTAAACCTGATTGATATCCCTGATGAATTGGCTCGTTTGAATACGCTAGAAGAACATCTAATTGCAATAAATGTACCATTCATGAAAATGATTGCATTACCGAAAGGTGGCCAGCATGGTGTACGAGGTCCAGTTGTATGTGTACCATCAAATGTAACAGACACAGTAAATGTATTACCGAGGCCCGAAAATGACAATCAGTTGATCCGAGTCAAATTGAAGAGAAAATTGACTTATAAAGGATATTATCAGTATCAGTTTATAAATAAGGAGTATGTTGAGAATGCCTTGAACTACCTCAAGCACAATAATAAATGGTACAGTGACATTGAAATAAATACTGAATGGGAGAATCCATTGTGTGAAGATGTTGATGAAATGGAGCAGCATGTAGATGATGCAAAAGAAGAGGTTAATAATGAAAGTGACAGTAAAGATGAAGAAAATGATGACGAGGAAACAGAAGATGATCGTTTGCGGGGTGTTGCATTGGACAGTTGTCTACAACCGAGTAATATAGGCCAGGAAATACTTGATCAGTACTTTGATGAAGTCATATGTGTTGCACCTTGTGAAGGTAATAGTCCAATCAGAATATTAATGGAAAAGGGTAATGAAGCAAAATGCTTTCCAGCATTATTTCCGATAGGTCAGCCTACATTTGATGATGATCGTAATGTGAAGTTAACTCTGTGTAGATACTTGCACAATCGACTAATGAATGTAGATAATAGATTTGCAAAGACTACACAATACATCTTTTATGCTCAATACTTATCCGAGATTCAGAAGGTTATGTCTAGTGTTTCTATTGCATTGCGTAAGAGTTGTGATAAAAAGCACAGTGGTGAGAGTGTTAATGCTTCCATGATCAATGACAGGGACCAACTACAAGATATTTTGAAATCAGACAGTGGATATAAATTTCTGAAACCAATTCGTGGTACACCACCATATTGGCAAGCAACACAGAAGGATGTTTTGGCTATGATCAGACAACTTGGAATACCAACATGGTTTTGTTCATTTTCTGCAGCAGATATGCGATGGCCTGAAGTAGTTAATACAATTCTGAGACAGCAAGGCGATTCTAGAGATGTGAAAGATTTGGACTGGAATGAGAAATGTACGATATTGAGAAGCAATCCTGTGACTGCTGCTAGAATGTTTGATCAACGATTTCATACATTTTTGAAAGATGTAATTATGTCTTCAGCAGAACCGATAGGAAAAGTCAAGGACTATTTTTACAGAGTGGAATTCCAACAGAGAGGGTCACCACATACACATTGTCTCTTTTGGATTGAAGATGCACCAAAATTGGGACATGATAGTAACAAGGATGTTGTTAATTTTGTTGACAAATACATCAGTTGCAAATTACCATCAGAACAGCAAGATGAACAGTTGAATGAAATCATCAGTCATGTGCAGTTACACAGCAAAAAACATTCCAAGTCATGTAAGAAGAAGGGTACTGCGTGCAGGTTTAATTTCCCCAGACCTCCATCTGAACGAACATTCATAACAGATCCTGATATGCCAATGGGTGATGAGAAAGAAAGTGAAGAAGATGACATAAATGAAAGAAATAAGGCCAAGGAGTTGCTGCAATCAGTTTGGACTGCAATACAGAAAGCTGAGAATGAACATATGACAACTACTGAACTATTTGGAAGCATAAATATTACACAAGCTGACTTTGAGAAAGCTAACAATGTCTTGAGCAGGAAGGCCAGTATTGTTCATAAGAGACAGCCACAAGATGTTTGGGTTAATTTGTACAATCCTGATTTGATACGTTGTTGGAGTGCAAATATGGACATTCAATATATTTGTGATGCTTATGCTTGTGTTGCTTATGTGGTATCCTACATGTCTAAGGCTGAACGTGAAATGGGTATATTGTTGTCACATGCTCAGGCAGAGGTACAGAGTGGTAATTTGGATGCAAGACAGAGCATGCGGGAAATTGGCAGTGTATATTTACACAATCGTGAAGTATCAGCACAAGAAGCAGTTTATCGTGTTTGTAATTTGAGATTGAAAGAAGGATCAAGGAAAGTAGAATTTGTACCTGTTGGAGAAAATCCAATCAGAATGAGCTTGCCTCTAAGTGTAATTCAAAACAAATGTGATGAAGATGATGATAGTATCTGGATGACCAGTAGAGTTGATAGGTATTTAGCAAGACCAGAAACTGATCAATTTGAAGCCATGTGCTTAGCGACATTTTGCTCAGACTATAGAGTGATATACAGCAACATGGCCAAAACAAGTCGTTCTCCAATACATGAATTGAAAAATGGTCTAGGTCACATACAGAAACGTAGTAGGACAGATCCAGCAGTTATTCGATTTCCAAGATTTTCAGTAGCAAAATATCCAGAGAAGTACTATCAAAGCATACTGCAATTATATCTACCTTATCGTATTGATGCTCAGCTTAAACCACAGCAGTTTGAAGCATATGAGGAATTCTATAAAAATGGTAGTGTTAAGTTGAATGGTGTGCTGAAATCTGTATTGAATATTGTTGAAAATAACCGGTCATTGTATGAGGCTAATGCTGAACCCATGGATGAAGCTGAAGAAATGTTAGAAAAGTTTGGTCCACTGGAAGATGCTTGGGCATTAATAGCTCCAGAAAGTGAACAGGAAAGACTTGAATGCAAAGCACAGAAACAACCACAAGAAGAAGATAGTGAGAATGAGTGTGATATTCCTGATTTGAAATCCAATCAAGACAGTGATATAAAAAGTACTATTGAACCACATCCACTGAAAGTATCCAAACAAGAAGCAATGAATATGTTAAGGTGTCTGAATGACAAACAGAGACAAGTGTTCTATAAAGTGAGACAGTGGTGTTTGGATAAAATCTCTGGTAAAAATCCAGAACCATTTCATGTATTTGTGACAGGTGGAGCAGGTACAGGAAAGAGCCATTTGATTAAATGTATTTACTATGAAGCAACAAGACTATTTGGAAGAATGATAGAGAGTCCGGATGACATATCAGTTCTGCTTATGGCGCCTACAGGTGTTGCTGCATACAATATACATGGTGCTACCATTCATAGTGCTTTGTCAATTTCAACAAATGTGAGATTGCCGTATCAACCACTGAGTGAAGAAAAGATCAGTACACTTAGGCATAAATTAAGGCAACTACAAATTGTAATTATTGATGAAATTTCAATGGTTGATCAAAAAATGTTGCACTACATTCATGGTCGTCTTCGACAGGTCAAACAATCTCGTAATCATAATCCTTTTGGGAATGTGAGCATACTTGCTGTTGGTGATTTTTATCAGTTGCCCCCTGTGAAAGGAAAATCTTTGTACCAGACTGATGTAACAGGTGATTTGTGGAATGATAACTTTGTCAAGGTGGAACTGACTGAGATTATGAGGCAAAAGGAAGATGTGCAGTTTGCCAAACTTTTAAACAGGTTGCGTGTAAGAAAGAAGAAAGAGCAGTTAGAAAGTGAAGATGTTGCTTTGCTAAAATCACGTGAAACTGGAGAAGATTGGACCGATGCTCTGCATATTTATCCTTGCAATAAACAGGTGGATGAGTATAATAGACAGACTCTTTTTGTGAAGTGTTCAGAATGTGTATGTGTTCTTGCTAAAGATTTCCAGAAAGATGCAAAAAGTGGGAAAATGATACCTGCAGTGAAATCAGTAAAGAAATCGTCACGTACAAATTTATCTGACTGCTTGTGGCTGGGTGTAGGTGCTAGAGTCATGCTTACAAGGAATCTTGATGTATCTGATGGACTTGTTAATGGAGTATTTGGAACTGTCTCTGATATAGTGATGTTACCGAATGAACACTCAGCAAAGATTGTGAAAGTTAAGTTTGACAATGAGAAGGTTGGAGCAAAATTGAAGAAGCAGTCCTCTGGTAATTCTACAGATGTAGTTTGTATTGAAATGGTAGAAGACAATGTGACTCAGGTCTTTGTGAGACACCAGTTCCCTCTTAAGTTAGCTTGGGCATGTACATCTCACAAGGTTCAAGGAATGACTACAGAAAAGGCTGTTGTATGTTTAGATCGTACTTTTTCAGCAGGACAAGCTTATGTTAGTTTGAGCAGAGTGGTGTCATTAAATGGCCTAATAATCGAAGGATTTGATGAAAAATTTATTTACTGTAATGAAAAAGTGGCTGAGGCAATAAGTGAAATGCCATTATATATTGATAATGAACAAAGCAATGATAGTGTTGATAAAATTGAACTTGCAAGGTCCGGTGGAACCTATTGTACAAGCATTGCAATGCATAACATTCAAGGTCTTCAAGCACATTTTGTGGATTTCAAGAGAAACAAGGAAATGTGTTCATGTGATTTCATATGTCTGACAGAAACATGGAGTGATGGAGACTTCGATTGTGAGATGGATTTGAGTGATTACAAATGGTATCATCAGCCAAGATGTATGTCGTATGATAACACTAGTCGTGTTACACATATGTTGAAAGAACAGTGCCATGGAGGTGTAGCTGTATGTGGCAAGAAAGACAGACTGTTTAGTAGGCTAAACTTACCAGTCCACAACCTAGAATACATTGCATTTCAGATAATTTCTAAAGTGTCAGTAGCCATTGTGATCATTTATCGACCAGCTTCATATGTTCTAAATGAATTTCTATCAATTCTTGAAATGTTGCTAAATGAGCTACATAACGTGTCAAATAAGTGCATTGTCATGGGTGATTTCAATGAAGATATCATGAAACAGTCTTCTGTTCAGAAAGTGATGCATGATCATGGATATAAGCAATGTGTGACTGAAGCTACTACTGAGAATGGCACTTTACTTGATCATGTTTATGTCAGGAACATAGACGTCATTGAAACTTATGTGAGCCCAACATATTATAGCTACCATGAAGCAGTTATACTTAAATTTTGAATTTCTTTTTGTGAATGTCTAGGCCTATTGTGTTGAAACTGTATTTGTTGGTATGCTACAATGTAGTTATTTGAGCATTTAGAAGTGTATTCATTGATTTTAAAATGACACTACGGGTACATGTACATACCTGCAGAGAGAGACCTGTATGTACTATACGGCCCAAATGACATTAATACATGACTTCTTATAACAAAAAAAAATGAGATGGGGTTTAAGATATAAATTACAAAAAAAATAAACTTCTAAAGTTGAATTTTGAAAAATGAAGTATGAACTTTTACTTAAAATAGAGTACAATAACAAGTGAATTATGGAACTGTATTTAATAATAAATAAAGACAAGAATGACACACAGAAACAAATATGATAAATGACACAAGAATGCTAGAGATACAGTGAAGTTATTGACCAATAAAGTAAATAAAAATTATAAGTAAAATTACATTATTGCGGTACTTGTAAGTGATCAATATGAGGCCCATGAACAACAGTAAAGCATTAGTATACATAATGTACATAATAACGAATGCTTTATAATAGTTTTAATAAAGTAGGTAATTCTAGCAGAGATTGCCATGCATACATTCAAATACATGTACATGTAGCTGTTTCTCTGATACATGTACACTACACAGAACATGATTAATAATGTCAGCCTGTTGATACCCACACTATCAAGGTGAGTGACAACATTTTCAACATTGTGTTATGATCTGATACTGAAACATGTTATAAAACATCTACACATACAATACATTCTATTTGTGTCATCAATCAAAAAAATGCGCTGATGTAACTGACCGATTGAACGCCTGTAGTGCTATAAGAAACATTGCTGTTATTATGTGAATTTAATGTCATGACGTAATAGTAACCATTAAATGTATTATTTTATAGAATATATACTTCATGTATGTACAGTGTATATGGTCTATGTGTAACCACACAAGTCCTTATGAATTGTCATCTGCAGGCTGTCAGCAATTCATTGTGGCCTGTGACTTTGGACAAGATGGAGTGTGATCCGCAACACTGCCTGCCAGGCCTCCAACACTTGAGGGTGAGTGTTGTCATCTGCAGGCTGTCAGCAATTCATTGTGGCCTGTGACTTTGGACAAGATGGAGTGTGATCCGCAACACTGCCTGCCAGACCTCCAACACTTGAGGGTGGGTGTTGTCATCTATTTTAAATCCTATATTTTGTCCTATTTTTAATTTGTACAGCGCATTGGGACTCCATGTTTAATGCGCTTAATGAGAACAGTTTTATTTTCATTATTATTATCTGCAGGCTGTCAACAATTCATTGTGGCCTGTGACTGTGGACAAGATGAAGTGTGAACCGCAACACTGCCTGCCTGGCCTCCAACACTCGAGGGTGGGTGTTGTCATCTGCAGGCTGTCAGCAATTCATTGTGGCCTGTGACTTTGGACAAGATGGAGTGTGAACCGCAACACTGCCTGCCAGACCTCCAACACTCGAGGGTGGGTGTTGTCATCTGCGGGCTGTCAGCAATTCATTGTGGCCTGTGACTTTGGACAAGATGGAGTGTGAACCACAACACTGCCTGCCAGGCCTCCAACACTCGAGGGTGGGTGTTGTCATCTGCGGGCTGTCAGCAATTCATTGTGGCCTGTGACTTTGGACAAGATGGAGTGTGAACCACAACACTGCCTGCCAGGCCTCCAACACTCGAGGGTGGGTGTTGTCATCTGCAGGCTGTCAGCAATTCATTGTGGCCTGTGACTTTGGACAAGATGGAGTGTGAACCACAACACTGCCTGCCAGGCCTCCAACACTTGAGGGTGGGTGTTGTCATCTGCAGGCTGTCAGCAATTCATTGTGGCCTGTGACTGTGGACAAGATGGAGTGTGAACCGCAACACTGCCTGCCAGGCCTCCAACACTCGAGGGTGGGTGTTGTCATCTGCAGGCTGTCAGCAATTCATTGTGGCCTGTGACTTTGGACAAGATGGAGTGTGAACCACAACACTGCCTGCCAGGCCTCCAACACTTGAGGGTGGGTGTTGTCATCTGCAGGCTGTCAGCAATTCATTGTGGCCTGTGACTGTGGACAAGATGGAGTGTGAACCGCAACACTGCCTGCCAGACCTCCAACACTTGAGGGTGGGTGTTGTCATCTGCAGGCTGTCAGCAATTCATTGTGGCCTGTGACTTTGGACAAGATGGAGTGTGAAACGCAACACTCCCTGCCAGGCCTCCAACACTCGAGGGTGGGTGTTGTCATCTGCAGGATGTCAGCAATTTATTGTGGCCTGTGACTTTGGACAAGATGGAGTGTGAACCGCAACACTGCCTGCCAGACCTCCAACACTTGAGGGTGGGTGTTGTCATCTGCAGGCTGTCAGCAATTCATTGTGGCCTGTGACTTTGGACAAGATGGAGTGTGAACCGCAACACTCCCTGCCAGGCCTCCAACACTCGAGGGTGGGTGTTGTCATCTGCAGGCTGTCAGCAATTCATTGTGGCCTGTGACTTTGGACAAGATGGAGTGTGATCCGCAACACTGCCTGCCAGACTTCCAACACTTGAGGGTGGGTGTTGTCATCTGCAGGCTGTCAGCAATTCATTGTGGCCTGTGACTTTGGACAAGATGGAGTGTGATCCGCAACACTGCCTGCCAGACCTCCAACACTCGAGGGTGGGTGTTGTCATCTATTTTTAATCCTATATTTTGTCCTATTTTTAATTTGTACAGCGCATTGGGACTCCATGTTTAATGCGCTTAATAAGAACGGTTTTATTATCATTATTATTATCTGCAGGCTGTCAGCAATTCATTGTGGCCTGTGACTTTGGACAAGATGGAGTGTGAACCGCAACACTGCCTGCCAGGCCTCCAACACTTGAGGGTGGGTGTTGTCATCTGCAGGCTGTCCGCAATTCATTGTGGCCTGTGACTGTGGACAAGATGGAGTGTGAACCGCAACACTGCCTGCCAGGACATCCAACACTTGACGGTGGGTGTTGTCATCTGCAGGCTGTCAGCAATTCATTGTGGCCTGTGACTTATCATTGTTCATCCCTTACTTTTGACTTGACTTGTGACCACATTTGTAACCATACATAACTGGATTTTTGTCCTCACTTATATATTTTCATAAACACTTTTAGATGTATTTATAAAAATATGTCGGTGAACGGCTAAACCCAATTTTGAATTTACATCACTTCGATGCAAGTTCAATGTGATGAATAGACTGCAGTTATCAAAGAACTTTTGAGTGAACTTGTGAAGGGATTTGTGATGGACTGGACTACAACATATTGCTGTGAATATTGGTTTACTAACAAAACTTTGTAAGGTCGATTAATCACACTGTCGTCCAACTTCCGCACCAAATAAAATGCACAACATTTCTTTTTCATAGCAATCTTCTCTTTCATGCTTTTTACAGAGTAAAATCCCATTGCAGTCATTGATGTGCTCTTATGACCTGCCATCGGGTGCGATGTGGATGACCTCCAATCATCTGCTAGGAGTAAACAACGCCATGCCCAGTGCAGTTTGTGTTCTACATTTGGTGTTTACTTGAAGAGTAATGAACAAATTCTAGTGTTCCAATAGCAATATGACCTGCCATCAAGTGTGATGTGGATGACATGTAGTCATCCACCAGCAGTGCCATGCCCAATGCTCTTTGTGTTCTACATTGGTGTTTGCTTGGAGAGTAATGAAGATGTTTTACTGATTACTAACTAATACCAACTTGGTTTGTTTTATCTAATAAACAACATTGCATAGGTTAACCCCATGCGTACGGGAAGCGGTCATGGCCACAGCTGCTATAATCCTCATTGGAATGCAGTTGCCAGCTGTGGTATGCCGTGGCACACTGCTAGTGGGTAGTTCCACAGCTGCTGCTTTTGTGCAGTCCCGCTACCACACAAAGGTTGTGCAGTCATGCGGGCCACTTGCTCTATGTGTGGAGGAATGTCCCCATTACACCCAGTCCTTAAGGGGTTAAGGAACAAATGTCACAAGTGTCAAATGAATAAAGATTCCAAGTTATACTTCAAAGATTTGACCAGGATCTATCTTATAACTCTGTCTCAAATGACATCATTTCCTACAGACCAGCCACATGTATCGGCATTTTTCCGTCATGACCATGGGTTATGTTGTATTTTGCACACATTTTGAGCAACAAGTGGGCGTGCTGTGTTTGAAACATTTTCTACAATGCGCAAAGCATGCTTGGGTGCATAGAATACGCAGATGCAGTTCTCCAACAGAGATGGCCATTTTTGACAGACACCTGTTATGCTTATTCAAAAGCCAAATTTTGGTTGTACAAGATCACAGATTGCACTTGCCAGCCTGCATAGCCCTGCATTAGTAAGCAGAAATGTGTCAGTTTGAGTGTCAAACAAGCAATGTTTTCTTTCCCGACAATATTTGGAAGAGAATCAAGCATACAGTATTTGGAGGTTATTTTATTCAAATTAGAATGACATATACTCATTTTAATTTGTGTTGATGCTTAGCCATAAACCATTATTATAAACACTGGTGAAGTCAACCTTCTGTCTTGGCATTGCAGAAAATGAAATTACAATGTGAAGTCATGTAAATAGTTTGTAGATTTATTTCTACAATTGAATTGAAAACTCAGCTTTTCACTTTATGCATGATACACAGTGACTTACAAAAATGGTAGGCAGTACAAAATAATTACTTTGTTAAAGAGAAAACATTGACTTGAATGTTCATTTTTATTTTTCACAAAGATTTGTTTTTAAATAACACAAAAACATATCAAGTACAATTTTCTGTTGTAGTCTCTACCAATTAATTATGTACATGTAATATGCAACTTTCACATATGCATGAATTGAAACGTCAGGACTTCAGATTTACTGCAGCACAATGCATGCACCCTACACAAATACATTGTACATGCATATGAGTATCTCAAAGTTGAAACTACATGTATGTCTGGGCTTGTTTCTATCTGTAATAAAAATGATTGTAATTTCCATGACAAATATGCTGATTTAAAGATGCTTTTCTAATTGTGTAACTACAATTTCTATGGCTTATCTCATAACTTAGTCATTTATCATTTATTTAGCAAAACCCGACTATTGATTGTATTTCTGGACTCTACTATGAAAAATAAATCCCAATACTTCAACTGGAATCACAGTCTCTGTACACGTGGATAATTTTGTTTTGAGATACAGCTGTGAACAATCAGATAAATAAGTATCATTTATTCATTATGTTACAGTCACTTAATCTTCGCGATCTTCAGCAAAATAAGAATAAGTGTGGGGGAACAAAAGGAACCTTTGTTTAAACACCTGTGATAACATTTGCAAATACACGATAACACAGTGGAGGGAGTTCCTAGTCTATCTGCCTTTGCGTGTAGTTCTTCAATTTAAAAGAAAGATTGCTGTAAATTGTAATACATATGGTAGAGAGCAGTAATCAATGACAGCGGTAGCGTCTCTACATTGTATTAGTTATACTGTTGGGCACTATATAGAGGGCAGTAGATCACCATTATGGGCCGTACACAACAAAAAATTGTCAACAGTAGAGGGCAGTAGATCACTTGCACAGTGCCAACGCGTACGGGGCGCACGCAAAGTCATCAGTGCACGCAGTAGAGGAAACATGTACATGTACATGTACATTGTGGACGTCCTGTGCATGTTTTAAAGCAGAGGTATTGTCAACCTAAGATTTAAGCGTGCGCAGGCCATGTCCCGAGTTTGCTTATTGCCTAGAAGCTTTGAAATGTTTTAGACCTACCCTTAAATCGACAATTAAAGTAAAAACTAATATAAAAACTGCCATGGTTGATTTTTCAGGAATTTGCAAAGGAAAAAGACTCTTTTCAGTAGAACTTCCGGTCCGATGACGTCATACACCTAAAACTTCGCACACGTCTTAAAGTGGGTCAGGGTCATCATATACACCAATATTTAGGCGATTCCGACAAACTTCGCCACAGACATCTATTCAAAATACATTTTTGATAATTTTCAACCTGTCGCTAGAGGGCGCTCGAAGATTCCATGACGTCATCGGTAGATGATTTAAAGAATACTGTCAGCCAAGAGACTAACACCGTTAAAAGCAAGTTCATATCTATTACCACTTTCAAATAGTAAGCCACTTCCGGTTTGGGCCTTTTTCGACCGGAAGCAAGGGTCACGTGATTGTACGCACACTGAATGAAATAAAGATCTCAACCTACTCCACCATTTGCCGGCAACAGAATGCTTCGGACGCGTACGGTTCATTTCTTATGCATTTTTAAATATTAAAAGTGTCAATATTCAATTGCCTATAAATAAACACCGGATGACGTCATCATGACGTCATCATTACACAAAGTTGTTTGAATCAGGGTCTTTGCTTGGACAAAGAGTGGTGTAAATGAATTACTGGCGCAGAGTCGAAAATGCCCTCTGAAAAGCGACATTTAAAAAAAAACACATTGTGTACAAAGTCTATGGGAAAAATTAAATATTCAAAATTCTATAATAAATCACGTGATGACGTCAGCATGACGAAAAGTTTCGGCGTACATCTTCAGATGATGCTTAATAACTATGCTGAGTTTAAAGTTGATCAGATTTAAAATAATTGCCAAAGTGGCTTGTAGAATAAAAACGTGTACAAAACCTATGGGAAAAGCGGAAAAAAAAAAAAAAGGAAAAAAAAAAACTTTAACGAAAACAAGAGCTGTTCCCAATTGAAATTGGGAACAGCTAAAAAGGAAAAAAAAAACTTTAACGAAAACAATAGCTGTTCCCAATTGAAATTGGGAACAGCTAAAAAGGAAAAAAAAAACTTTAACGAAAACAAGAGCTGTTCCCAATTGAAATTGGGAACAGCTAAGAAGAAAGAAAGAAAAAAAAACCGGAACAAAAACAAAGGCTTTTTCGCAAAATTGCGAAAAAGCCAACTAGAGGTCTATGTCCGTTTGCAACAGAACATAGGGCTTTTCCGCATTTTTTTTTAATTGAGGTGATGTTTTTATTTTTTTGTGCAAAACTGTGTACATTTACGTTTTGTCTAACATACCTCATTCAAAAGGAAATTTGATTTTGGCATATTGCGTTTGTGAGATACGGCAAAAGTCATATCTAATATATATATATAATCACAAGATGACGTCATGATGACGTCAGCTCATTATTTATTTGTAACACATCCCGGCCTGCCCCCATACCAAGTTTCAACTCAATCTAAATTACTGTTGATGACATATAGGGGCTTAAAATATACAAACGATGACGTCACATGTCTAATGATGACGTCATTGTAACAATACTTGGCAGTGCTCATTATTTTATTGTGGTTTTAGTCTGTACCAAGTTTGAAAACAATCGGATTATTAAAAGTGTTAAACTTTGTAAGAAGAATAAAATTGGCAATATTGAAAAAAAAATCGTAAAAAAATCTACTGATGACGTCATCGTGACGTCATTTAAGATGTTATGTACTAGTGTTATTATCTACCCACCCACCAAGTATCATGACGATCGGACATTATCTTATGTGTTTCAAAAAAGCGCAAGTTTGATGACGTCATCATGACGTCACACATTTTTCAAAATTTTGTACATATACCTATTGCCTAACGAACCTAATACAAAAAGAATTTTAAATTTAGCATATTGGGTTCGTGATATATGGCTTAAAGGTCCCAAACTTCAAAAATCTATATAAAATCACACGATGACGTCATGATGACGTCACCTCAATATTTATTTGTAACACATCCCGGCCTACCCCCATACCAAGTTTCAACCCAATCTGACGTACTGTTCATGAGATATAGGGGCTTAAAATATACAAGTTAACAATGACGAATATTAAAAAAAAATCTTTAAAAATCGACCGATGACGTCATCGGGACGTCATTCAAGATTTTGTGTACTAGTGTTATTATCTTCCCACCCACCAAGTTTCAAGACGATCGGACATTCCCTTATATGTGTTTCAAAAAATCGCACTTTTGCTGACGTCCAAATTTTGTGCATATATCTATTGCCCAGCGAACCTAATACAAAAAGAATTTTGAATTTATTATATTGCGTTAGTGAGATATGGCTTAAAGGTCCAAAACTTCAGAAATCGATATAAAATCACACGATGACGTCATGATGACGTCACCTCAATTTTCGTCTATAACACATCCCGGTCTACCTACATACCGAGTTTTAACCCAATCGGACTGACAGTTCTGTAGATATAGGACTTTGTAATATGCACATGCATGATGACGTCACGTGACCCATGATGACGTCATCATGACGTCGCTCGTCCGCACACATCTATGCTGTATGGACTATGTCTATGCAAACTTTGAACGATATGCAACAAAGTTTAAGGGCAAAAGTGGCGTGTAGAATAAACGTGTACAAAGTCTATGGGGTTTTGGGGAAAAAAGAAGAAGAGGAAGAAGAACTAGAGGTCTATGTCTGTTTGCAACAGAACATAGGGCTTTTCCGCATTATGATTATTTTTAATCAATAATATGCCCTGAATATTCATGAACATAAAATCTGTCAAAAGAATTTTGCATTTTGCATGTTGCGTTCGGGAGATATGGCTAAAAGGTCCAAACAAATAAATATTCATATAAAATCTCAGGATGACGTCATCATGACGTCACCTCATTTTTAATCTATAACACATCCTGGTATAGCCACATACCAGGTTTCAACCCAATCGGACTTACATTTCTGTAGATATAAGACTTCACAATATGTACGTAAATTTTCAAAAATCAATAAAAAATTAGGTAATGACGTCATCGTGACGTCATAGTCTAGGCAGAATTTTTTTATGAGGGTCTTCCTTGGCTGTAACTTTGATGACGATTCCAGATC